AAATTCTGAATATTAAAAGAAAAAAATCCCACACGAAAATAAAGATGTAGATTTTTAATCTACATTGTTCATTTTCTAACCTACTCAAAGTAAATTAAAAATTATACTAAAGGGCTTGATAAGGACATATGAGGACTGCATATTCCTATTCTTTTTAAATATCTCAATTGAATAACATTGCAATTTCATATTTTAAAAATAGCTAACAGATAAATTATAACAATGTTATTATACTGTTCCACATTTATCTTTTAACATTTAATTAGGGATTGTTTTATTTTATTGCAAATTGTTGGCATTATATGATAGTTTTCAAATACTGAAAAGTTAAAATGAATTTAATGTAAGAAAATAATCTTGCAGTTCAGTTAAAAAGATCCAAATTGAGGGAGGGGTTGATATTTTCAAATTCTTACTGCAAGAGGAGGAAAATATGAAGCCTTTCCAATGCTGGTTATATAATGGCCACTTTGGCTGATATACTGTGAAATCCTTAGAGGTGTTCCTGAAAACCTCCAAAGAATTGGGCCATGTAAGAGTTTTGCTGTGGAGTGAGGGCATGAGATAGCCCTTTAATCATCAGAATGGCGATGGATGGCTAGTTACAGTTGTAGCAATAAAAATAAAGGTTTCAGCTTACATGGCGAATAGCAAGAAATTAATCTCATTGTTAACTTCACTATTCATCTGTTTACCATATCTAAAAATCTTTTCATCCTTCAAAACAAAACTCTGCATGAAGGCAGAACATTTTTAATCATCATTTTTCCCCTCTCTCTTTAGACATAAAAAATAGTTCAACCAGCCCAACCAGCCAAGCAGGCCTTTCTCTTCCCCTGCGGACACCTCCTGCAGTCGAGAAGTTCATTAAGTTTTATGATCTTCCCAAGTCAGTCCTGCTTATAAGCCTCAGAAAGGCCACAAATCTGGCAAACCATCATGTATGCCATTAGGCATTACTAGTAAATGAATGCTATTTAGGGTTTGTGGTGACAGTAAATTAGGGTTTGGTTGGCAGCTGTCATTGTTTGGATTTTTTTTAACATAATTTTTAAAAACAACATAAAAAGGCAAGAAACTATGATGGTACAGATCATCCATCAGTACAGCTCAATAATATGGAATTCCACTGGGAAATAACTGCAATTCCCTAACCATTTTTTAAGAACATCAGAATTAATATATTTTAAGTTATATTTGCATACGTAACTATAGTACTTCAGGTATAGAAATTTACTAAAGAGTAAGGATAATCAGATTCTGAATCTAAGCTTTTCTTAACAGTAAACAATGTACATACAAAATGACATACATACATCAGACTATGATATCGATAGGAGGACAGAAAGATTGATACAAAGGTATGCAACAGATGTGACTCCACATTAAGCATACAACTTAAGATTCTGGAGTGACATCTATTAGAACAGATACAGATAAAAATGTAACATAACGTGGCCACTAGACAGACCCATTTTTCTTATCTTTCTATTTTACTAGAGGGGCTTCAGTAAAACTTTGGGGCTCAATTTTCTTTGTATTAATTAAATAAATAAGTGGCAGTTAGTCATCTTTATGAAAACCTGCTACCCGGTGGCTACCTATAGGAATGCACATACCAATATATGTTTATTTGTTTGTTTGTTTTAAAGTTGATTTATACAGAACACAGTATTTTTTTTAAATGTAAAAATAAATGTCAGATTAGATTTTGTAATTAATTACTTTGAACATGATGAAATATCTCACAGAAAAACTCTTCAGCTACCTAGTTCTAAATAAGGCAGAGTGAAAAATCTTTAATAAACATAATGCATCTACTAACCCCTGAGGAAATGTATTTTGAGATCCACAAACATCTGATATGGTTAATTCACCTGAAATCGAAGGTTCCCCTAAACATTCTCTTTCTACCAATCTAGCAAAGTCCTCACTAGCTATGCTGAACAATAATAATCCGCCGGCAAAGTATTAAAAATGAATGCAATTAAATATAAAAATGTCTGCACAGCTGCATTACTTACTTCCTTATTTCTGAAAAGACTTGACTGAAATTACACTTTATGCAGAGGCTAGATTCTTTCTGTCTCCTTAAACTAGGTAGGGATAAACCATGACAGTAATTTCCATTACTAACACCAAGGTAAACTTTTCCTCAGATTATAAATAATTAAGTATTGAGGCACAATCCAATTGCATCTTGATTAAATTATTTTGAGCAAAAGGCAGTGAAGACCAATGGGCGAGAACCCCTACTTAAATTGCATCCCAAACTGTTTACCCTACAAATTCAGAATTGTTTGGCAATAGATGAGTATTTGCACTTTTTTTCCTCATTGAAACAGATCAGAGAAAATATGCTAGAAATTACTTTCACATTTGCTTTGCTTTGGTAACACTTACTAATGTCTATACAGTCATTTAATCTCAACTGGGAGATCCTGAGTGAATATCCCCCTATGGGAACAGTTTGGAGGGGGGTGGATTTACCTCCATCAATCACTCAGTGCATAATCCTATCCCTTCCCAGTTGCTGGGGCTGGCAGGATCTCGCCTTTGGCCAGACGGACGCCTTCACTCTTTGTTGGCTCTTAGCTATTTTACAAAAGAGATAACTTGCAAACTTGGCTCCACAAGTCAAGACACAAAAGCAAGATCTCAATTTACAAATTATCACTGAAATCCCCAGAAACATCTGAAATCACAAAATCTCTTCCCTTGTCAGTTTCCTTCTCGCTTCTGAAACAGCAATGGCCTTACCAAGCACCCACTGCCAGTAATCCCTGTCTCTGAAAAGAGACTTGTTTTTAATTCTCAACTCACCTCTGACATGTGCTTGACTATACTTTCCTTTCAAAGCGGTGAGGCTAAACCCTGTGCAAATAAGTGATCGCAGGACCTACGCCTTCTTAATTGAAATCTGCCTGCTGCAAAATGTCTAAACATCAAAGGCAGGTTGCTTGGTTAGCTCTGGAGCTGGCTGGGCAAAAAGTTTAGAAAAAGACAAGAAAACAAATATAAACCAAAGCGGGGGGGTGGGAGGGGTTAACTGTGATCAAGGCACAAAGGGTGTATGTGTGTGGCATAGGGAGGGGGGGAAATCATTCCCCTTATCCAGAGCAATATAATGCAATATAAAGCAGAATCAATCTTAATATTCACAACACAGTCAATACCCCAGTGCTTAGCTGTCAGCAGAAACTGAAGTGGAGTCCTGATAGCAAGGAAACCTTTGGACATTAAGCAGCATAATTTACTGAGAACTATGCACTTTTGGGTTTCTTAGTTAAGATTCACTGTGATTTAATGTTTGATGTCTTATTCTGTAGTCATATGTATTTTTTTTTTGTCTTCAGACTGCAATTGAGAACTATAATTTTCAAGAATAACTAAAAAGGTAGCATACAGATTTTTTTAAAAGTTAGTCAGACCTTAATAATGCTCTTGGTTCTCATAATATTACTTACAATACTTTTCAAAATCCTCCCCTCTAAAAAGTGACTAATTTTTCTCCACTTAAAGTCAGTGGGGTCAAAGAACATACACACAAGCTGTTATAAAGTTTCAATGTGTCTTAACAATATATCTTAACAAAATTAGTTTGTCAACACTTTTGGGAAGAAAAATTCTGGTGTTTAAAATATTATTGCATCAAAAAAATTAAGACTTTGCTGTGCTCCCTACAAACAAATATTGGCAGAAAGCATTCTACCACTTTTACACTCTTAACTTCACTCTGTACAGTCTAGTTGTTAATGCTCTTGTATCCTCAGCATCAACAGCATTTTTGTTCTGTTTTCTCTTAAAATGTGATGCAGCCAGACAGAATGGTATATTTAGACGTGTTAATGCTTACAAAGTTTACTGATCCCTTTAACATGTTCTGTATTATATGAAGAAATATTTTGTATAGCATATATATATATATATGATTAATGTTTGTACAGCACTTGAAAGATGAAAAGTGCTATATAAATGGTAAGTGTTATTGTTATAAGAAAAATATTATATATCTAAGTTAAACCCCTAATGCACTTTTAACCTGAATGTTTAGAACAAGCTCAAGAACTAGAATTCTATATAATACACTGTTAAAATGGGTATTACATTTTGTTACCACAGTTACCTGAAATGCTCTTTTCAAAATCTTAACTGTAAATATATAAAAGTATATGCTACTAACTTGCTTCTACCCTTTTTTAGTCCATATTATTGAAATACATCTTCTAGAAAACTTCAGGGGTGTTTTTTGCTATAATTTTTTGTCTACAGATATATGGATATGAATAGCAATATCTACAGTCAGAAATACTCATGTACATATATAACCCTCACAATGTAAATGTATATAAAAATAAATGCATTATATACAACACCGTACATCCGTATGTATGTGAACATGTGTGGACATATTTATACACAGATACACACACATCCTTTAGCATTTCTTAAGACTACAGTTAATTTCCTACATAATGTACTAGTTTGAATCTGTCAACTGAATGTGTCCAATAACATATATTCTGTTAATTGCACAGAGAAACAATAAGGTGGCCCGAGTCAAACAGAAAGTTGCCGGCTATGTTTTTTCCCTTGCTCTCTACTCTGCATTGCAATTGGCTTCTCCAATCTCACATTGCTCCTTTAAGAAATTGACATACAAACAAGACAGAGAGAGGGGGAGAGAGCCTGGTTGCTCGGTGTTACTTCCCTGATTGCAGCCAGAGGGGGAATTTACTCTGTGGACGGTGACACACGATCATTTTCATCTACATTTCATTTTACATCGGGATTATGAATTGTAAAATTTGCTCCAGATTTATTACATTCTCCCCCTCCCCTCCTCTCCCAAGATCTGAAGCAGGAAAGGAGGCAATGATCAAAGATGGCTGCGGTGCCTAAAGCAGCTCCCAGGCTCGCAGAATCTAAGCTTCGAGAAGTATTGCAATGTTGACCTATTTGGAGTTCGATTTAAAGCCACGTTACTCCTGGTCTCTTACCTGTTTTCTCTTTGATTTCACACAGGACACTGAACAGAGCAGGCTTCATTCGGTGGCAGTTCAGTGCATGCTTTCTGAAAGACAGGAAAAAACAAATGTATTAACAAAAGCTATTTGATAATATGGCGTCTTTCCACAATAAAATGATTGAATTGTGTCTCTGCATTTTACTGTTAATATATTCCATGGAAAGTAATAGGAAGCAAAGTTAATTACAAGTGACAAGGAATCTTTGGCTACAGCTTTTGGCTGCGAGTGGGGGAGGTACATATTTGCCCTGTACACTACCAGGCAACATAATCATATTGTGTGCAAACTAGCAAACATTAAGAAGAAATGTGAGGATATTTAAATTCAGGGACAAGAGGAGCAAATAAAAGGGAGTTTCAAATGCCTTCTCTCATTTATCACCAAAGCAGGGACTTGGTGACAAGTAAAAGATCCAGGTAGCCCCAGCCTGCCTGCCACTTGCAGACTTGTGACACTCACAGAAGTTTGGTTTTAAAGCCATGTTTAAAAGGTTTCTTTTCATCTGTTTATTTTTAAGTCAAATTAGCTTTATGTAAATTCCCTGGTATACTAAGTGTATAAATCAAAGCCTGTCTCGAGTACTTTCCATTCCTCTACATTAGAACTGATTTGTTACAGGGGAGAACTTCCAGAGTTCATATTCTTTGTTTTGTATTTACTGTGATTTCAAACATTGAGGGTTTTCTCCCTGAAGCAATATCTTGTCAGCTTTGTAATTCATCTGCCACCACTTCAGGGGCAGGAGAGAAGGAAAGAAAAAAAGTTACACTTCTTAACAAGAAATCAAAGTCTCCCGAAGAACAAATATTGCGGGATGGTGATTTTTAAATGAGTGTCAGCCAGATAGTGTCTAAAGACATGGAAATGGGAATATCTGAGCAACAGCCTTCCACGCATAGGTGTAAATAAAATGGAACAGAAAACAATGGTACAAGCATCACATATTTATATTTTACAAATAATTAATAGCAACTTTGATTTTGCCTTTGCTGCTTGCAATTTCTCCTACAGTATTAAGTTGCTCTAATTGTGAGACGCCTGGTCTCTGCAGAGGAGCAGGAGGGAGAGAAACAAAAACCACACACACACACAAAAAGACAAGGTTTAATTAGACGAAACCAACTTTGCTTGTGCCTCATCCAGGCTTTGGTCAGTGATGGTCATGATCTGATGGAGGATGTCTCCGATGTCCTGCTTTCTGCCGTCGCCGTCTGCCCCTTCATGTCCATGGGGAGGAGGCAGAGCCATCCCCCCCTGCACCGAGTGGCCAGCCAGGTTCACACCGGCCAGAGTCTGCAACATCCTGGACTGATCATCCATACCTCCTACCGCAGCCCAATCAATGCACTTTCAGAGATAGCAGCAGGAGAAACGGCGAAAACAGCCTCACAATCAGAGGAAGGAGGTTTGTGCTTAGAAAAGAAAATGCAAATAAATCTCTGGCTCTTGTAGTCAATTTCAGTTCCTGTTTGTTGTTATTTTGCTATCGCAAATTAAAAAAAAAATCAGTATTTAGTATTTCACCGGATCTCAGTTGTTTATTCCACTCTCTTCTTTCCAATGCAGTAAATCACTCCCTTCTTTAGTTACAATCTTCTTTCATCATAATTATGATATTTGTGGCTTGAATAAATGAGTTGATCAGGTTTCTTTGCAGTTTTCTCTCCCTCGTACAATCTTCCTCCAAAGCTTTTTTCTTTCTCTCTTCTTCTTTTTTTATTTTTATTGTTGCTTTTTATGTCTTTCCTCCACTTGTCCAAAAAAAGATCTTCTTCGCAAAAAAAGACAAATTAAAAAAAAAAAACACAAAAAACTTGCTTTCAAATCCTTAAAAAGTTAGGAGGGTGGCAAACAGCAAAAACCACAACAAACCAAGCAAACACCCCCATCCCCAAATTGCAACATTAAAAAAAGCCCAAGAAAACACAAACACAGATGAAAAAAATTAATTGCCCTCCCCCCCCAAAAAATAACAAATGATCCCAAGTCTGTACAATGGGGGCAAAATTGCAGCTATCAAAAGTTTGAACTTGTGTAAAGAAAAGAGCGGAAATAAAGGGGAAAGAACTGTAAAAAAATTAATTACACACTCTCTGCAAAGCAATGTGCAAAAATATCAGCCAGCTGGAATTTATGAGCCCAGCAGCCCAGTGACTGTGTGTGTTTTATGTTGTTTGATGGCCGCTTTGGTGAGGGATTGACAGTCTGCCAATGCCACTCACTCACCCTGCAGACGTGTCACCCTGTGAAGGAGGAGAGAGGCAGAGAGAGCGCGCGAGCGAGGGGACGTGGGAGCCAGGCGGAGCCACGCCCCCTGCCCTCCCCTTCCCCCTCCCCTTCTGAGAGAGGGAGAGAGAGAGACCGGGGGAGCTAGGCTGAGGCGCTCCCCCTGCTGCTCCGGAGAGAGACCGGGGCACCCAGCCGGAGCCACGCCCCCTCCCGCCCCGCCCCGCCCCTCCCGACAGGAGCGACCCGAGAATCCTGGCGGAGACCACGCCCCTCTGCTCCCCTCCCCACTAACTCCTCCCTCCCTCCACCCCATCTCTGCTTCACTGACTCCCCCCATTGACCCC